TCAGTGCTTGTATCGTATTTGGTCTAAGCTTGCTTCGATGTGGGCTAATAACTCTTCCACTAGTACTAAAAGCTGATTCTGAAGGTACAATGGATATGGGAATGGCAAACACATCTTTAGCAAGCATTTGCAATATAGGAAACCTAGCTCCATGAACTTTCCACCAATTCAGAATATCAAAAGTTTCGTCTACTTCAAATGGAACCACCCTTTCCTCTGAATAAGCATCTAACTCTAATTTCACAGCTGGTGCACTACCTTTTGAACTAAGGAATGTCTTGAATTTTTCAACAAAATTTTTATTACCAATCATAGAGGAAGATGAGGCAGCCACTAGTGGAGTAGGGCTAGGGCTAGACACTTGCACACACCTCTCATTTTGGGAAGTTTTAGATTGATATCTATCAATCAAATCATAACAAATCGTCAAAACTTTTTGCATTTCCCCTCTAGTTCTATCTCCATAAATTTCAATAAAATAAAACTCTACCAACTCCATTTTGCATCTAGGATCTAAAACAGTTGCTAGAGCCATAATGCCATGAACCTCACTCCAATACTTGTCAAATTTATCAAGCATTTTTTCTGCCATTGTTTCTATAACAACATTTCCGCAAGTCAACCATGCCATCAATGCAATTTTAATTTCACAGATCTTTGGGAATAAAATATTAGCAGTAGGATATTTATTCCCTGAAAACAATTCAGTGATTTCAGAAAACAATTCAGTGATTTCATAAAACAACATCAACCTACTAGAAATCTCCTCGGCCATTTCCCAATTCTCCTTTAATGGTGAACATTTATATTGTGAGTCCCTTTGCTTCAAACGAGAGAAAACATCTTTATAATATAAAGCCACATGAAGCATTAAATAGGTTGAATTCCATCTAGTCTTACAATCAAGATTTAATTTCTTTGAAAAAACAATTTTCAATTGTTTAGCCGTCTCTTCAAATTTCTCCTCTCTTTTTGGTGTTGCTGTCCAAAAAGCAACACTATCTGTAACCTTCTCAATTTCATCAACAATTACCTCCAACCCATCTTTGACAATTAAGTTTAAGATATGGGCAGAACAACGCATATGTATCAAGGTTCCTTCTACCCATAA